CTCCAACAAGAGATATCTCCAAAGAGAGATCTGGCAAAACTGTTGTCGCATCAAGCCATCGATCCTTCGTCTCTAATCCTATAAGCACGTTTAATACACGTAACAGAATGATATGAACGTGCGCTAAGCCGAACGAAGGCGATATCGCGAAATTGTATCCTTCTCGTTTTACTTCTGCAATTATCCTCAGCATCGTTTCCGGCTTAAAGCACACCGGGATCCATCTATGGGCAGGAAGTCGAGTTGTTCACATATTAATCTCGGCGAATTAAAATTCACCGCGCGCAAGCAGCTTCTGTTTTAGTGGCGCAATGAAACGCATTGAGTCACGCTCACGCTAGTAGTACCAACTGAACGGCGAAAAATACCGTGCGATTTCAAAGCACTTGCACTTTGAATACGAGCAAAAAAAAAAGGAAGAATGCAAAAAAAATTGCAAAGTTAAATCTTATATTCATTTAAGAAGTTTGAAAATTAATTTTCTTTCTTTTTCTTTTTCTTTTTTTTTTTTGAGAGAGAAAATTTACTTTTTATTAATGGAGATTATTCGATAATTAATATTGGATGAATATATTGGATGAATGTTAAGAAACAAGAAATTAGAATTTTTATGAAGGAAATAGATAAGAATATAAGAGGATACATATATGAGATATCAAGGTTTTGATTTATATAAAGAAATCTTTAATTAAATCCTAAATAAGATGAGGATTACATCTTTCGTAACAGCTGTTGTCCTTCTAACGTTCCTTATTCCCACCGTAGCAGGAAGTTTACTCGAATAAATTTATTCTAATTATTTATTAATAACTTCCAAATCATCCTAAAACAACATCGTAGTTTCGAAATATCAATTTCATAAATTTGAAACGCACTTTTATATTTTCCATTGTAATTATATCACTTCTACCCCAATTTCTATTTATCCAATTTCATCTTCGTTCGTCAAAAACTAGAAAAAAAAAAAAATATCCGCAATTTCTTCCAAACCCATCCCTTCGATATTTTTATTAGCGACTGTTCTCTCAAGATCTCCCAAGCGAAACAAGGTTAAAAAGATCCCTTTTCCTCTCGTTTCCACGAGGGGAACAGAGAAACTTCAAATTTTGCAAAAACTAAACCTAACCAAAAGCCTTCCTTTTATCGCGATAAGATATCGCCCAGAAGAATGTCCCTAGCGCCCCGCTATCGGGCATTTCGAAGTGCCTCGAAATGTAACCGTTGAGAACACGACAGGGCCGATTAAATCGCGCGAGGCGAGAGGCAGGAGAACAAGCTCCTATACGTGGACGGCGTTGGATAGGCGGCGGACGATGTTGGATTCGCGGATTCGCGTAGAGGGCCAAAGCAGGAACACGGGCACGAAACAGGTTCTGGGGACGGCAGAACCGTAGATCCCCGAGATGTCATTGAGGCAAATGGTAGGCGACCGGCTACGGCCGGGATTTCACTGTAAATGTCAACCGACGCCACGTAAAATGTCCCCGCGATTTGAAGGAAAGTCGTTCGGGGCACAGGCGGAGGTTTCTGCCTCCCCTTCTCCCTCCTCTTGCGTTCAAACTCGAAGCCGCCTTGCGACTTGCGTTTAGACTGTATACATAGGGTGTATCTTGTTTGTTTGTCAAAATTGCTTTTGGTTATGGTTTTGGTTTTTGATGGTGTACAAAATTACTGTGTGAAAATCTGATAAAGAATTGTAATTCTCGATCTTCTATACATTTACATTTCCTTGTATATTTTTATATGGTAAGTATTTGTATCTAATGGATACAAATAGGATAATTTCTCCATTTATTAGTAATATTTGTAATACAATTTTGAAAAATAATTTCTATCAGCATTATTAAGAAAGCTTTTATCATAGATATTTATATTGAGAATATGATATATTGAGAATAAAAAAGTATCAACGCAGATTTCAGAACAATATTGAATTTATCAGATAGTGAATTTATCAGATAGGCAGCTTGTATAAATAAGCTAAATTTAAATATTGTATCGCAATAACCGGAAGTCTATTACTTGATATTTTCTACTTATGATATAACTTTCTAATTTCATTAAAAAAATGTTACAAACATTTCACAATTTTCCTTATAACATACTCGGTAATCTTCAAATTGAAACTTTATTTAAATACCTCAAGAATATGCTATTTTATTTTATTTCATTATATTTCGTAACGATTAATAATTAAAAAAAAAATAGCTATAAACAACCTGCATTTATGTAATTCATTACACATTATTCAAATCCGTAGGAACGCACCGACGTATCGACGGTTAAAACTTGGCACACCCTGTACATATATACACAGTGAATACTCGTCGACTCGTGAAATTGGCCGCGACATTTTCGATCTTTACACCGATAGCTGTACAAAACAAGTGCAACCTGGTCGATAAGCCTCGACCAGGAGGTAGCCAAGTATTAACCCGAGTACGAAAGTTATAAATTCTACCGATCATTTTGTTCCACACACGGGATCATTTTGTTCCACTCGCGAGAATATATCCCCTCTCTCTCTTTCTCTCTCCTTTCTTCTTTCTCCAATTCAACCTCTTTTTCCATCCAGCCCATGCGTGCCCCACCCACTCTCCTCGTCACTATTTCGCACGTCCTCTTCGTCCTCTTCGTCCTTTTTTTTCCCCCCCTCGAATACCATCGTCAGACGCTCGTTGCTTTGAATGAAGCACGGTTACTCTTGGTTCCTCCAGTTTCTTGGCTATTTTATCAGTGACATATTACGTTCGACGACGCTAGCTTCGAATTTACAGAGCGGCAGAAATCGATTGTTGTTTCGACAATCGCCGTCTTTTCGTGGCGCTGGAGGGACCACGTTTCAAAGAGAGAGAGAGAGAGAGAGAGAGAGAGAGAGAGAGAGAGAGAGAGAGAGAGAGAGTTGTGAATACAGAGATATACAGTGGCTCGTGAAAATATCACAGGAAAATTTTAATGAAAATTTATAGGTTGAGTGTTATAATACAAATAGCAAATGAAAAATAATGTAAGGTATATATTCGAATGTGGATGTTGTTTGAAATAATTACGTGGTAGTTTATTTATAGAACAAATGATTTTTTTCTTCAGAATATTTATTCAATAAAATTATTTCATTGTGGTAGATTTCATCACAATATATTTTTTATTGATGAACAATTTGAAATAAGAATAATTTTAAGCGTATAATAGAATTTGAATAAAATAATGAAAAGCATGTATACATAAAGCAATTTCCTTTTCGACAGAAAATATATTCGAGATGCTTGTGAAAAATCCACCCTCGAAGTTTCAGCATTCTTTCAAATACAATTTCATCCTTCGAATACTTTCCTTATTGCATTATGCTATATACACACCTTGAGGAAGCAATCTCGAGGGAGCAGCAGATTTTCGAGGCGCGACACACCACAAAAATCTTACACCACGAATTTCGAACGAGACAGCTTTGATTCGACGACGATCATAAGGACGAGCGTTATTACGAGGGTTCTTCGCCCCTTCACGAGTTCCCCTCGATCTCTCTGGAAATCCCACTCACACGACGAAAGAAAGCTCGCATACACACAGGAGAATCGTCGGTTCAACGGATCTAACTAGCATTGCGTGGATACTTTTTTTACATTCCACTTTCCATCTCAACGATAGGAAGATACTTTCGAGATGCAGGTTGTTCGCGAAAAGGATGCTCGTGGAACCGGAGACGAAACCGGTGACCGGCTTTCCACGCGGCTTAATATCGCCTCTCCGCTCGATAAATCCGCTCCATTTGTTTTATACTCGAGCAAGGCCTCGAAAAATGCAAACCAGTGATCCTTGATCGCGCGTTGAACGAAACGCAAGACGTTGACGACAGCCTTTCTAAAACGGACAACTTTGTCTAGTTTTAGCTTAATCCGAGCCAGAATGGTCAATAGGTGGATAAATGTTCTGGTATATTGCATGCGAGGAATTCCTCGACGGAATGTTTCTTTTATCTTCAATCCTACATCTTATTTTCCTTCCACTAAGATAATGCTTGGTAACGATATCGAATGATTCTCAATTTCTTGAATTCAATTCTGGATATAGTAACTTTTTCTAACAATTTTATTTTACTCAAATCATCAAAATAAATAATGAAAATAATGTTTAACATATATCACGAAGCATATATCAGTTTCACAATTTCCAAACCAATTAAATCCAACCGTTTAAAACTTTCGACTTACAAGGGTCAATATCCATCCAATTACAAATAAGAATGATCGATGCGATTGATCAAATCCCTCGTAACTCAACCCTATCTTCGATAACCCCAAAAACTCTTCGATAACCAACGAATCCCCTCCCCCCAAATTCTTCCAACAACAACAAAAAAACAAAGATAAATAAACCTCCATCGAAGGGGTCCATCGCGTGAAACATTTTTCCAAGCCGGTAGGCCCCTGCCAACAGCGGGAGCCAGCCCCCCTCATCTCTCCCTCATCTCGAAACGCAATCGGTTTTTGCCGCCGGTCCGGTTCTACCTACCGGCACCGACCTACCGGAACGCGTGGAACTCGCCCAGCATCCATCGAGGACCGGCTACGAAGTGCTGGAATATCAGCGATGCCCGCCGCGTCCGTGGAGAGAACGACGCGGCCGACGGAGAATGAATCAAGCGGCGAGGCGAGGCGAGACGAGACGAAACGAAACGAGACGAGACGAGACGAAGCGAGACGAAGCGAAGAGAAGAGAAGCGAAGAGTGGTGGGGAGCGCGGTCACAGAGGCGCGTGGTGGGGGTTCGCGGGCGAGGAGTGGGGGATGGCGGCGAGGGAGGGGCGAGGAAGTGGAACGCGGAGAGGAGGAGAAGGTAGAAGCACGAGCGCTTCCCCTTCCCTCTCTCCCGCTCCCCCACTCGCGATCCCGCGACGAGGAGTAGGGGGAAAGGAAGGGGGGCAGGTGGAGGACAGCGGCGGAGAGCAAGCGTAGAGCGAGGGCAGAGTCTGCGCTTGGTCCGAGTTTTCGGTGCCGTCGCCAGTGGCAGAGCCAGTTTCTCGTAGCATCGGCGTGCCGGCGGCGTCGAGGCGCCCCTTCAGTATGAAGCCGACGACCGTGCCAGCTGCAGCCGCTGCACCTGTCGTCCCGTATAACGCGACAACTACGCTCCTCGTGCACACGGATCAACGCTCCTGATCGTGGATCCCCCCATCAGCCCCCCACCCCCCCTCGACACCGATACTCCATGGATAATACCGTGCTCCGGGCTCCGATTTCGTTCATCGAGAAGGACTGTGAAGAGACACCATCACCACCGCAACGCACGTTATATACGCAACAAACATCATCGTGCCTCTGGATAAATCCGTTCCGTGGATACACGTTTGGAATGATATAAAGGAGGAGGTGATCCCGTGATACTTCCCCTCTCTTTCTTCCAGCTTATATACGTATATATACATATACATATATATATATTCTTCCTCCTTGCGCCTCGTTCTTCTTCCTGAACGTGAACGGTGATCGGTTTGTGTTTCGTCCACAGTGTTTATTATATTAATCGTAACCGCAGTTCTTTCTTCTGCAGTTTTCTTCCCTCGTGATTGTTATCCGTCGTTTCCCATCTGCATCTTTGATTTGCGTGATTCGAGGGGGGGGGTCCCTCCTCCGAGGAACTGTGATAACGTGTGGCGAGGAAAGAAAGAGACGGGGCGCGCGGGACTGACGGTATAATAAAAGTGAAAACTCGTTCCTCCGGTGTTCCGTGGTTCGGCTTCTTCGAAAGAGAGGTAGAAAAGAGGCCGGCAACCAAAAAAAAAAAACCCGACCATCGCCGCCCAACGGCTTCTTCTTGGATATTTCGGAAGATATTTCTCCCCTCCTCCCCCCTCCCCGTCGCAAGGTATCGGTTGGACCCCGATCGAGGCAGGGCCAGCAGCGTGGCGGAGCATCAGTGGCGAGGTGAGTCCTTCCAACACGATAAATTCCAACACCCTGGAACGAGGGTCAAGAGCGGTCAGACATCTCGCGCGTCGCGACGCGACGCGTGTAGACTGGTTTTCGAGTCCTAGCACTCTTTGTCTCGCTCCCTCTCCTCTTCCTTCCTTTTTCTCCACCCCTCTCTCCGTCCTTCTCATTGTCGCCTTACCCTTGCCCTTTCTCTCTCCTTCTTCTTCTTCTCCTTCTCCTTCTTCTTCTTCTTCTTCTTCTTCTTCTTCTTCTTCATCGTCTCTCTTCTCTTCATCGAACGTACCCCGGTGATAAATCTTCGCGATCTCGCCGGCCGTTGACTGAGCAAATTACCACCGTGATCCTTCATCTTCCTATTACCGCGTAGACACCATGTCGGAGAGGGATTATTCTAAGAGAGAGAGAGAGAGAGAGTGACCGTGGGACTACGAGGGTTGAGTCGGCTCGTGAAAAGTGAACGCCACCATCCTCGTGGGTCACGACCGTGAAACGAACTCCCGCTTTGGAAATTGGGATGATGGTGAAATTAGCCGGTATCAACCGAATGGCCGTTTCGATCATGCTCTCTGCTCGACGCAGCTGAGCAAATAACTGGGCTGAAATGCGTGTCCCACCCATCGTCTTCTTCTTTCTCGCGAAAACAGCCTTTAATTATTATTTTTCTCGTGTCCTCTTGTTATTCTCTGTCGATTAAGTAGATTAATTCGAAATTGGATCGAATTTGTTGATGCGCAAATCATTGACTCTTCTGGATAAATAAATGTATATTATGTGGATGTAGATATGATTCACTTCTCTGCGAATAGTAGAATCGTTACTCGAATTTTTCTTTTAACGCAATAAGAAATAATGTGTAAATTTTTATTTTAAAACGACGTAGTAGAGATCTTAAAATTTTTCTTTTTTTTTTTTTCCTATCGTATCGTAGGATAGCTTGAAATAAAAAGGCAGGTAAAGTTATAAATCTAATCACTGTGGCAGATTGAATATCTCAAGCGATATCCTTTCCTCGTAATTTTCTACGACAAATTTAAATTTTAGCTATTAATAAGAGAATTTGGATAGATTGAAAATTTCTTAGCCATAGTCTTCTATATTGCCCGGTAAATTGATGAGGAAAAAGTCGGAAACGTGCTCGTCGTTGGTTCGACGATAATAAATCATTTCGGTGCATTATGGAGCAGGGAAAATTGGCGGCGTGATCTTTCATCTTCCCATTATCGTTCATAGGGTAGCACGGTCAGGATCGCGGTGATCCGCCGATTCAATTCACTCAAACTCGAATCACGAGACCGAACCGCTGACCTATGAGACGCGTAATGAGATCTTCAGAGGATTATTTTGAGGAGAACGATGATGTTGACGATTCCCTATCACGTGACATCTATTTAAGCTTTGTATCAATAACTGGACGATTTTACGATTTTTCGATTTTTCGACGACTGAAAATTTTAGGCTTGGATAATAAATAAAATGGATAATAAATATAGTCGAAAAAAAAAAAATATCTGGATAACGATTTGGATTGTGGAAAGTGATTAACGTGATTTGCTTGAGGTTTTAATTCAATCTCGATTCGTTTCGATTCGAAGATCTTTTGCGTGTAACAAAAAATATAGCTGTAACTTTTCACGCGTATACGCGTATATATTTTGTACGCAATTTATAATTTTTACTCGAACGTATGGAATAATTATATATAATTCGAATATGTAAGAGAAATCTATGCAGAACGATACGTGTAATCTAATGTTTGCACACACGATATTAATCGAGTTTCAGTATGATATTAATTTGATTTCAGAGAACACGTTTGATTTAATAAAAAAATTCGATTCTATCATAATAATTATTCGCAAGCTTGTTGATTTTATTCACAGAATCGGTAAAAGAAAATCTAGATCTATATCTATAATGCAGTTTAAAATGCAATTTAAAGAGGGAAACCAATGAAAAATGGCACGTATGTAACAATTTTAATTTCCTTGTATAATTATTTTTGCCATGATAAAATAAATTTTGAAATTCCATATATATTTTTCTCCGAAATTATCAAACACATTAGAACTTTTATTTATTTTCCATTAGGCTTTTCAAACGTGAATAATCGTATTAATAAATATATTGAAATTCATCGATCCAATAATATCGATTTTCAATCGATCGATCAAAAAATGGAGGATTAAACTAATCAAAAATCATTTCAAAATGTAAAACTCGGCTTAAGAATATACGTGTACAGTATAAGATATCCGACAATCCAAATTTCAAGGATCGAAAATTCTGAAGGAAAACATTCACGCATATAATCATAATTGTACACGAAAATTTTCGACCAGACACGTGGAAATCCATCAATCGTTCACAAAGTTTACACCATTGTCGTTAACAAGTGATACACGTTCGACTTAATTCCCTCGGTGACCCACATAAACGTCCTCGAAACCGGTGTATTCCTCTCGAATTCTTCGTAAATACGTTACACCGAAGCAAATGTAGAAAAGTTTCCTCGAGGCAAAACCCAACACCTTCACCGTTCCATCCAACGACGAATTTCATTTTTACCCATTTCTCATTCTCCAATATAATTAATCTTATCGAAATATCTCGTTTCGATATTTCTTTTCAGAGGTCGATGACTCCTTTTTTTTTTTACACGAACGATAGTAGTAAGTTTCCTCGATCTCGACGTATAAACGCGAAATCACATACTCCACGTGATTAGTTGAAAAAAAGAAAAGTACATCGTTGCAGATCCTTGCAAATCCTCGAGTTTGATTATTGGAACGAAGATCACTTCTTTCATTCGATTCATATTAACAATTGTTCGACCACCAAATATTTCCTTCTCGACAATACATTACGTAATTGAAAAAAGAGTACGATTTTTATAGAAAGGATTTAGATGCTGATCATCGTAACAAAAATTCAATCTTTGGAAATCATATATTTATATTTTTAAATTCTCTTTTATGTATTTTGTATTATATTATATGTATATCGATATTATTGTATTTTTTGTTATAACTATAAATTAATTTCTAAATTTCTTATAAGCAAGAAAAGGGATTAAACTTTTAGTTGAAATCAAGCAATCGATTTAATTAAATTATTCATGAATAAATATAAATCAATATTGATCTGAATGGTTTCTGAATGGCATGAAAAGTTGCTTTCTTTCGGTGAAAGAGATTCCGTTCCTCGTGGTATCCTCGGATTTCGAATCCGTGCACATTGTCCCGTGTGTTGGCAAGGCGTCATAATAGTAATTAAACGTAATCTAGGTTCGAGGAAGAAAACAGGGGACGTTATTGAGTTCGAGTTCGCGCACATAATAATCAAGCCTGATTGCGCCCCTTCTCGAAGGAAAGTGGCCTAATCCACTTTTCGTCTTCATTCAATTATACCAGATTACACGAGACACTTCTCCTATTTCCAACCGAGAAATTTATCGCTCGAATATTTTCTTTTCATTAATAAATCCTCTTTCGCACGGCGATACTATTGCGATTCACCTGTGATGAATATAAAAGAAACCGAACTCAAAACCTTTGACTCGGTCGAAAATATCCCATTTTCGTCGAAAAATTCAATCGAAAGTAAATTGAACTGTTAATTCTTTTGGATTCAACGATTATTCTTTAAAGTATTCGACGATATCTATTATAAGAATAATTCCGTAAAATTCTAGAATTAATTATCTTTGAAATTGAATAAACCGTGTAAGTTTTATTTCTTTACACTTCGTATCATTTAAAAATCTTTTTCGAAAAATCAAGGATAATCCTTGTTCGTTTTCATCTACAAACTCGATTTATCTCACGATCTCGATCTGATCGACGATTCATCTCAACAGAAGCGGAAGAGGAATGCAAATGATAGATATCCCGGGTGGATAGGTCGCGGGTGACGTTTGTCCACGTTTGCGCAACGCTTCATTCACGGTCAAAACGTGCGGAATCGAATTGGTCCACAGCAGCTCCGCGAGAACGATTTATAGCATGCAGGAAAGGCAGAAATATTATATCGTTTTAAGAATACATTAACCTTGCGGGAATGAGATTTATGCGTTCGCGATTTGATCGAAGGATTTGCGGGGTCGCGTGTTATGAATACGTGTGAACGCACGAGATCGTGGCCGAGATATTTATTGAATTATATATCTCACTTTGTATCGTGTGAAACGCTAATTAAATTAATCAGAAGTAAGTTTATTATCGAATCGTGTTCGGAAAGAAAGAAAAAAAAAGAAAGGATTAAAATTCTAAAACTCTGCGAACGATTCTCAAAGAGTTTTCAAATAGAAGATAAAATTCTATCGTTTAATAAGATATTCATGAAACTCGATACGATAAATATGGATACGATATATTGAAAAATTGAAAGGAAGAAATCATTTTCGAATTCTTACGACGAGAAAAAAAATTTCTGTCGTGCAATAGCCGAGATCGAGACAGATCCAATTGGACTTACAACATTTTAATCTACGACCTTGAATACGAAAAAAAAAAAATCAAAAGATCCATCACTCCATACCGAAATCATCTTCCACGAATACAATAACAAGTCTTCGTCCATTCATCTTGTACAAAATCGAAAGTAAATTGCACACATACAGATGTACTCTTATAATCTCAACTACTGCTCTATGTCACTCGAAGAACGAGCTGCAACAACGAAATTATTCCAATAAATCTTCCAAGAAAGAACCACCACTGTCGGCCAACACGATAATTACCAACGATTCGAAACGGCCATTCTTCGACGATCGTCTCGTATTTGCATCGAAAGAGGGTAGCCATTCCTTGACCAAAAGGGAGCCGCTACTTCTTGCGGCAAACCGATGATGATCGTCGTTACCTAATAGACGAAACGGACGTAAAAAAAAAGAAAAAAGAAAAAAAAAATTAAAGTCGCTCAAACGGCCGTACACTTGTTTCTCTACCAGGGAGGAAAATTACGGTCCACGGCGAGAGCGGCAGCCCGTTTAT